AACAGATCCTGCATCAAATTTGTTATCTATTTACCATCAAAAGTTGATAGTAAACTCTGCTTGAAATCTGTTCGCGCAGGTTTGGCTATCTGGAGTGTTATACCCTTATAGAAATATCATACTAAAAATCATTGATAATTACTTATTATCCAGTATTTTTAATACTGAAAATAAGTAATTATCAATTATTCTTAGTATGATATTTCTATAAGGGTATAACGTGAAAGAAATTTTAACGTATCTGTTATATAAAAATTTCATCCTTATTCAAAAATAAAAGTTATGAAACATATTTGTTACATATCAGAGTTCATACTTCATGAATGTTACATCAATGTTACATAAATGTTACATATATGTTATATTATATTATTTATAATAGCTACGAAAAAATATTATAGCCTGTTGATAAGTGTCTTACCTAGCAAACACAGACATATAACAGTTACATTGCCGTAATAAAACGGAATCTAACATGCAATATAACATGTATGTAGTAAGTTATATTCAAACCCAGATAGCATAGAGATGAACAGAAGTTCCTAGAGAATTCATTTTAAAGAATAGATATAGAATTAGAAAAATGAATATCCGAAGAATTCTTGAAGAATTAACCACAGTAAGTTCACAGTAAGGTCTTGAAATATTCTTTAGGATTTCATTATAGCAAATATTTCGCAACTTAATTCCTAGAACACTTTGAATTCATGAGGAATTAGGGCTAAGGCAGAGACGTAAGCATCGTAATCGTAGACGTAAAGTAAGGCAGAGAAAAAAGTAAGCGTAAGGCTAATAGCCTTTTATAATTTACTTTTACGTTTTTCTCTGCTTTATTTTACGTCTACGACCCTTATAGAAATATCATACTAAGAATTATTGATAATTACTTATTTTCAGTATTAAAAATACTGGATAATAAGTAATTATCAATGATTCTTAGTATGATATTTCTATAAGGGTACAGAAACGTCGTTAATATGTCACAAAAAAGACGTTTTAAAGACGTCGTTATTTAGTTACTATAAAACCAGTTATGACCAGTTTTTTACGTCATTTTGACGTCTGTTACTTGGGCTGATTCTTGTGTCGTTCACCTTACCTACTGCGCCACTGTCACTTTGATTGAGAGACGCTTTATA